CAGTACATCAGCCATTTGAACTGATGCTTCGCTGCCATACAACCATGAGGACCTATGAAATAAGGGAAGAGGGAGAGAAAGAGGACTTACCTGAAAACCTTAATGCCCAAAGCCAACTTTCAGGGTCAAGACGGCTACACCTTGTGTTATCAACATACAGTCACAATTGGCTGGCTATCGTGCAAAGATAAAACAGCATCGGCGAGACAGCTTCCTTTCGGCTTTCACTACCACGCGTCATAATCAGCCATTACCCCGCAGATAACTCAGCACCAAACATTTTAAACAGGCAATCCAATTAGGAGACGGCAGTAGAGGAGCCACTGGTGTCTACTGCGAGCCATATCCTGTAAAGTCTCGAGCCAAGCACAAGGCGAGTCATGTGGACTCCAGCCCGGAAGGCGAGACTGTCCAACGGCATCCAGTTTGGTCGTCAGTGACTTCATTTCACGCTGCCAAGTCAACTTCTGCCGGCCGCGAGTTTTGAGTCACCCTACACCTGGCAGACTAAACAAGGCCCTCCTAGGTAAGCGGTGACCAGGCATACTTAGCACGTGCCCGAGCTAACGCAACTTATTCAGTGCTATCTGTTGTTCTAGGGGGCTAGCATGATTATCATTACTTAGTACTCGCCTACGCACATCATCGTTGCGGACACGCTGGTGCCATCCGACAACAGAAATGCTTCGCAGACAAAAATGATCAAAGACTTGAAGGCGTCTCAGATCTTCACACCGAAGGAGCCAAGTCTCACTCCCATAGAGCAGAACGGCCCTCACTGTAGCCTTGGATACCCAGCCTTTCAGACGTAGGGAAACTCCCTTCTGTCGCTAAAGATGACGCAGGTTCAAGAAGGTAGCTCTGCCTTTTGCAATGTGTGAGCTGACGTCAGTTTCTATGCGCCCATCATTGCTGATGCAGCTGCAAAGATAAGTGAAATAATCAACCACCACGAGTTCCTCGCTAGCAAGCGTCAAGGGGTCATCAAGTGGCTGGTGGTCCTGCAGCAACACTTTGCACTTTGAAGGTGCGAAGTGCATACCAAATAATGGGACCACTCAAGACAGGCTATTCAGGGTTGATTGGGCCGCCCCAACATCGTCGGAGAACAAGACGATATCGTCCGCATAATCTAGATCAACTAACCTTTCACTAGGCAGCACTTCAACGCCTACATCGTGAGATTCCGCAAGAGAACACTACATGATAGAATCCACGAAGAAATGGGGAAATCGGACAACCCTGACGAACGCCACTTGTGGTCAGAAAGCTATCCGATAAGACACCGTAGACCCTGACGCGGCCTGTAGTGTTCGAGTATAGAGCACGAAGGATGTTCACATATTTCGTGGGAACACCTTTCCGCGCAAGCATTTCGAACAGAAACGATCGATCGACTGAATCGAACGCACACTTGAAATCGAGGAATACAGCTATGGTCGGTCTGCGGTATGCGTGGCGCTGCGCTAGCACCTGCTGCAATGAATATATGGTCTATACAGCCACTTCCTAGGCGGAAACCTGCCTGGTCTTCCCCAATCTGAGATTCCCGTTCTGCAGTGAGGTGATGAACGATAATCGAGGCTAATAATGCTATCACAACTGGCGTTAGGCTAATACCCCTGTGGTTCGCACAGTCTGTGCGACTGCCCTTCCTGTATATTGACACTATAATCGATTCGCTCCAATTAGCCGGGACACTTCCAGATACGTTCGAATAGGGAGGTCAGCGCCCTGCAGAGGACCTCACCTCCATCCTTACATAGTGCAGGTGGAAGGGAATCCGGGGCAGCGGCACTAAAAGGATTTAGGTCTGTGACCGCGTTTCGGATCTCGGCCTCCGACGGAGGCTCTAAACTAATCGTCCATGGCTCGTTCTGCATCACCTGAGTAGGAAAACGTCCGGGAGCAGGGGGCCAGCTGAACTGATCTTAAGTGTTCCGTCCGGGCCAGATCGCGCTCCTTATTGTGTATCAGTACACCCGCGCTGTCTCTGATTGTCTCACTGACGCCTAGTTTTCTGGGACAAGTGGTGCGGATCAGCTGGAAGAGCGTGCGGTAATTTCCTACTGCTCGTGATTCCTCCATTTTTTGAGCCGACTGGTCTACCAGGCTTCTCTGTCAGCACGTAGGCTCCGCTTTAGTTCACGCCTAGTAGCTCGTCTGGTCACATTGTGTTCAGAGCCAGTCGGGAGGTGTCTTCCAGATTCCAACAGGTTCACTGACCTCACGGTTATACGGTAACTGGTGCAGTGACGATGGATAGTGCCACAAGCCGGTGCTCCTGCGTCGTGCATGACGGCCGAGATTCTATTCCACTGAAGCTCAGTGTCATTAGGACAAGACAGCGGAAGTGTGGTATGCAGTGCTTTTTGATAGGCTTGACTTACCGAGGACTGAGACAATTTCTCTGTTGTCAATCATAGAAGACGCTTGGTGCGCCTCCCGGTAAAGTTCATGGAGAAACGACAGAGTCCACACAGGTACTTCAGTACGAGCGGCAATCCAGAATGGAATCACGCCATCTGTAAATTATGGCTATGTGGTCAATTTGGGTCCATCGCTGGTCAGCTACAGGAGGACACCAAGTAGCAGTGCTACTAAGAAACAACTGGTGCACAGCACACAGTTGCCGCAGACGTTCACCGTTGTCATTCCGCTCGGTTAAGCCCATAATTACCACCCAGCTGAGCTTCTGAAGAGCTCAGACACCTTGTGCGTTCATATCCCATGCAAGTACTATAATAGCTGAACTAGTAGCACTGCACAGTAGCATATTCAATTCGTGAGAGGTGTCCTTGACAACATCTGAACTGCAGTCGGTGGGAGCATAAGCGGAAGTAACAAACAAACAGCGTCTTGTAATAATTCGTGAATCAACCTTAGCTGGTGTCGTCAAACGGGCTGCACATAAACGGCTGCTCACCGGAATCCAATCAATCGACGATGGCGCAGCGTTGGAGCTTAGAATGATACCTACACCAGCTTGACCCGTGAGTGCTGCATCGGCGTCTCCGGATGCGTGCAACCAATAACGAGAGGACAAGCCGGGTGCAGTTAATTCAATAACCCCGTTAGGGTCATTGATCCTAGTTTCGGACATACAACACATCAATACCCAGTGTGTCCAAGGTGATTGCGAGTGCAGCCTGTTGACCTATTTGTCTTGGAGTGCGAACACTGAAGGACGCCACGGAAACGGGATGGCGTGGCCGTATAAGGGACTTTTACCGATAGGCGTCCGATAGGTGCGGTGGTATGGTGGCTGCAGACGGTTCTACTCCATTGGCACTTCGGTTGCTGTCAATTAAGCTGAGAATTATGGATGAAGTTTAGTAATGAAGGTCGGGATGGGAGTAAGAGAAGGTGGAAAAGAAAGGAGGGAGGCACCAGCAGTAGCATGTTTTCGCTTATCCGCCCTGCTGTATGGAGCAGATAAGGCAATCCTTGATAACCTGCGCGACGGCCGATGCAGGATGAAGTTTGTGTTTGAAGAAAATGTCATGGTTGTATGTGGGCTGAGATACTGCCAGGGCGCCCAGACCTAGACAGGAGGAGGATTAGGGTCCTCATCCAAAGCCTTTGGCTCAGAAGCCTGTCCGTAAGGCAGCGGGGAGTTGGCAATGATTTAGTTTTACAGAACTGGACGCCATCCCATTTCAAACCCCCAACCTGGAGGACTTTTAGACTTTGTCTGACTTCTCACCATTGACCAACCTGGTAGGAGTAGCTCTCAAGGTGCATGGAGGCATCACCCAGCATAGCTCAATGGGTCAATGAGGTACGCGAACCGTCGCACCACGTTAAGGTTAAACTGAAATGGTTCTCCACTGTATCTTGTACTAATTTTTCAAGTAACTTAACGACCACGCTAGTCAAGTTGACAGGTCTGCAATTAGCCGGTGGGTCTGTCACCGCAACTGAAAACCGGGCAGACAACAGCCTCCTTCCATTCGGTAGGTAAGACAGCTGTTGAAACACAAAAATCAGAGGTCCACTATTTTCAGCTTGTGTGAGGCCGCACTTGGAATACTGCGTTCGGGCTTGTCCTCCATGCCTGGTTCGTGATAAGATTGCAGTTAAACGAGTACTGCGATCCAGGACGAAAATAGTGCACGGATTAAACAAGCTGACGTACCCGAAGAGGCTACGTAAGTTGGAAATGTTTTCCATGTATTACTGAGACGTTAGATTGGTCTTGATTTGACCGGAGTGTTTCGCCCAACTCGAGCGCAAACCCTTCGTAACCACCCATTAAAGTTGCACAAACCCCAGTTTGATCGGGTTTGGGCAACTTTTCGCTTATGCGGTAGAGTCATAGCTTATTGGAACGCAGTGCTTGCGGACGTCGTGATGGCACCGACGATGAAAGAGTTCGAGCATCGACTTGACGCTTACGATCTGAAGTCTAAAGTCCTCCTCTTCATGCCTAAAGCTTTACTCGTCTACTACAGCCTATGCCTCCTCAACTTACATTCTAATATTGCCCATGAAATTCGATAGCTTGTCTTCTCTATTGATTCCCATCGGTTTCTTATATTTTTCACGTGGCCAGCACAGCGGGGACTGCTGATGCAGGGCACGTGGGCATTGTTTAGGTGACCATGTGAATTGTGTGTGTTGTATTGGCTCTCCTTTGGCACATTAATGCACCGAATTCCCCGTCGAATCAACGACGTTTACGAAGGTGGAACATTCACGGGACTCTCGTGGCACCAAGCGTGACAGCTATCTAGTCAAACTAATTGTTATATTCTGCTATATAATTCCGGTTGCTCAGGAGGTATTCGAGATCATTGTCAAATGGTTCTCCTTTTCCACACACCTATTTCAATCCGGAACCGAATCGGACAATCGACCGTCCGAAAATTCTATCAGTTTTCAAGCGTTCAACCGCATGCATCCAGGAAAATGCCCTATCTGAGGAGCTATCAAATGCCATAAATAAAAATATGCCCAAATGCACCAGAAGAAGAAAAAGTGGAGCCAAACGAACTTACTAGAAGTACTTTTCCGCCATTTTGAATATTCGCGACAAATGAGCTTAACAGTTCAAACAAAGGTTACATTTCATTTTAAAGGCAGCGTACGTACATGAACAAGGTTCAATTGTTATGTATATGCTCTGCAGTTGCTGCTTTGCCAAAGTATTCGAGTGGCGTTTAACAACAAATACTCTCTTACTATTACGAAGTTGCGCGGAGTAGCATCACTGATTTAAACCCCTTGACCAATTTGGACAATTCCAGTTTTGCTCTTATTGAAGTAATAATACAGCAATACTTTTGTACTAAGAAGCAGTCTCCATTATATGTGTTCAAGGTTGTTTGGTGCACCTCGGTTACTGCACGGTAGCGACGACACGCAGGAGAATTGTCAAATGCGAACAGTAAGGAAGATGGAGGCAGTCGGACCAACCTATAATGTCCCGGCCAGAAGGAGCGGAGAGCTAATCAGCGAGAGCGAAGGATGTGCTACACTTTACACACCAGTGAAATAATTAAAACTTTTGTGAACGCAGCTAAATTTTAAATTCTGTTGAGACCGGAACGATAGGATAATCCTGTGAATGTTCCTTCTTTTGCGTGTCGTTGGACCGGGAATTGATAGGTCTGCTTGATAAGTTGAAGAGCCTAAAACAGAGACCGCAGCACACCCTGTCCAACCAATTACCGCCCACATTTTCCTGCCCAGCAGTCCCTGTCAGGCTGGTTTCTGTGAGGTAAAAGAGGGAAGGGTAAGCTAAGAAACCAAGAGAATACAGCTGAATAAATAATACTAGGGTGTTATAAGACGTTTAAAAATAACCAAGGGAAAGTTGAAGATACAAGCCGGTTAAGAGAAGGGGAAGGTTAGGTACTGTCACCCAATAGCATCTAACTAACGCTCGAAACCCTCAAGCCTAGACTCCCTAAAGACGTGCTCCGGTAGCGCGTTTCAATGTTCAATAACTCGGCGCGAGAAGCAACTTTCCATCCCTACCCCTTCAGGCCGCAATTTACGCATCTTCAACGGGTGACCTTGGACACTGGGCAACTTGGCGGGACTGAAAAGCCAGGACAAGTTTGGACCGATAATACCCGTTAAGATACAGTAAGTGGGCATCAAGTCTCCTCTAATGCTGCGGTTGTGCATTTAGTATATACCCAAACAAATCAAGCGTTCGTGATACGTTTGCCCCCGCAATCCTTGTACTTACATTGTACCCACTCGCAAAATCCTCTCCTGTTTCATTTTGTCCCTTACAAGTCAAAGTGAACAAGCCTGGATACCGTATTCTAAGTGGCGTCACACGAAATCTGAGAACAGCTTCACAACGATATTGGACGTTAGGACCCTGATGGAGCGGCTAATAAACCCTCTGCAATCAGCCTTCCTCCAATTGTTCCCAAAGTGAAGCAACGAGGCATGTGTGATACCTAACTCAACCTGCTGAGTGACAACAGGGCTTTCACTTCCACTAACTACATGGCGTGTGGGTGGACTAGCACCTCCAATGCGGAGAACAGAACATTTTCCTGATTTATGGGCATCAAGCATAGGGTTGACCAATCCCCGAGCCTACCAAAAGCTCACTGAAGTGCCACTGCGCCACTGGAGATATCCACGATATTCCAGCGCTCGAGATCATCAGCAAACGATAGCGATGGCACTTCAAGTTCCAGAGATAGGTCATTAACATAACTAGCGAAAAGCAACGGCCCTAGAACCGAGCCTTGCGATACGCCACTAAGAATACTTTGTCTTAGCGAAAGGCTACGCTCCACGAGTACACACTTTTCACCCCCAATAGGAAAGGGGAAACCCACTTAAGAGCGGCTCCAGATATCACGTAGGTTCTCAACTTCAATGGGAGTCATTGATGTGGGACAGTATCAAAGGCATTCTAGAAGTCAACGAAGAGCACGTCGATAATGTGACCGTGATCTACGGCCTCAGCCCAGCTTTCACGGACTACAAGTACCCTTGCCAGGCATGAAAATTACTTGCAGAATCCGTGCTGTGTCGCACTGAGAAGGTTAAACTTAACCAGGTGAGCTCAACCGAATCCCCGAGCAAGTTTTCCAACAACTTAACTAGTACGCTTATCAAGCTGACAGGCCGGTAGTTCGCGAGCAGAGCTCTGTCCCCACCCTTAAAAATGGAACAGGTGGTTACCTTCTTCCAATTCGGAGGTAAGGCACAGCTATTGAGCGATACTGTAAACGTGTATGTCAGGGGGCCACTTAGCTCAGCAGCCAGTTCATGCATCAGCTCCGGATGAACTGAGTCAGGGCCAGATGCGTTGGAAGGATTTAACCATTGCAATAGCCTGAATAGTTGTGTCTCCGTTATGCTGGTTTCAGTTAGGCAAAAATCCTCCGGGACCTTGGTGACTAGCTCACGCTAAAGTAGAGAGGCCTCACGAACAAAGACACCAGTAGTTTGTAGGCTAAGTATACAAGCCTCATCATAGGCGGCATGCCCACGGGTCCTGTCGGCTCTAGGTAAATCCGGTATAGACGAGTTGGTACCGCTGCTTCTCTTTACGTAAGCAACTGACTTCGGATTGATTGCCGCTTTGTCAGCCAACTCCTTCTCGTACTGAAGCTCGAGAGTTCTAAGACGTTGCTTACATGTATTTCTAACCGCAACATAAATAAACAAATAAACATTTTATTCTCGACTATGCGAGGCACGCTCATGGAGGCATGATCAGATATGTACAACGGTACAAACATTATAAGGCAATTGTAACAGTAACGCAGAAAATTGTTCATATATCCATGATTGGAACTGTACAATGTTGAAAATGCGAAATGATGAGTCGGTTGTCAAGAGAGACAATACTTAGCGAGTTTCCAGGCTGCACTTGTGTTACTTGTCTCTTTATGTGTCGGATGTGGGGAGCAATGAGCTCGGTGAGGTATGCCTTAACTTTTTTCCAGGCTGTCCCCACCGTGTCAGCCACGGTGAACGCACAACGCAGGATTGAGGTTTTGTCTCGCATTGCGTTACCGTCCGCCGCCAAGTATTTAAACATGTCGCGGCACATCGAATGGATATGCAGCATGGTCTCTGGCTCATATAGGACGGTAGTATGTAATATCACTTACGAAATCGGGTGACTTCGCGAAAATGAGATCCAAGGTAGACGGATGTTGGTTGCTCATTTAGCAAGTTTGGAGGTCCACGAACTGATGCAATGGCAGTTGCAACGTTAGTTCGAGTAGATCTGAACCGAAAGTGCCCACCGCCGAACTGCAAGATAGGTCTGCCCAGCAGACTTCAGGAAGGTTGAAGTCACCCAGTAGTAAGTAAATAAACAAATAAATAGTCACTATTGTCAGCCTGAGTATGAACAAATTCAATAACCTCTCTTGAGCTACTTCCAGGACTTCGACACACCACCACAATAGTAAACTAAACAGAGGCAGTGCACACAATAGACGACGGGGATTCAGCAGTCTATTACGGAGACTGGAAAACACAGGTCTTCGACATATCATGTTTCCGAGGTACAAGTTTACAAGTTAAAGTGCGACGTCCTCAGCTTGGCGGCCAGCGTAGCGATCACAACTAAGCAGTGCGTAGCTAAGTAAGCATACTTCACCGGCTGTGATATCCGGGGACAACCACCTTTCGGTGATAGCAAGTATGGGGGACGAGATATGTCTACAAGTAGCCCCACCTCGGGTAACATTTTCCTTAGGCTACGCACATTACTAAGCGCTACCCGAAGGAACACGGCTCGACCAGCCCTGCGTCGTAGGCTACCATCAGGGGTTCTGGTAGGGCAGAAGTTGACTTCCGGCTGACTATCCTAAAACCCACAAGACGAAGGATTGTTCACCAGCCGCCTGCCTGCTCCTGAAACTTTTGCTGGAATCCTTTAACTTCAGGCGATCTACCAATGGGAGGTCTAGCAAAACGCTGACATTAGTACCCTCGAATGCAAAGCGCATTTACGCAAGCTGATTTTGACATAACAACGCATGATCAAGAAGGCGTAAACTTCCGATATGTTTTCCTAACAGTGTTTGTCTTCGCAGCGGGGTATATAAGTGTGTACTTATGTGTCTATGTAGCTGCATGTGCACCATGCTGAGGCTGATGTTGGATTCATGATTCTTCTTCACCGTTGTTGGTCTAAACCAACTTACACTTAAAATAGGTCTTTTTAAGCTGGATAACTTTCATGCTAATTTGTTTGATTTGTTCTGACTACCGAAATAAACTTCTATTAACTTTCCACGTTGCTCACGGTAAATGTGCTTAGATTTGTTAACTGCTTGCGTTTTTAACATTTTCTAAGTCACTTCTGGACCGTTTTTATTTGTCGCGGATTCGCTGCTAACCAACATACTTCGTACGCTAATTTAGGGAACAGTTATGTCTGCATAGCCGTATTCTGTAGCAGATATATTTTGTTGGTTACTGTCATTTCAAGTGCCTGGCTGGGGTTTGACATCCCCGGTGCGGCTGCGCTTGATGTGCATGTTGACAAGGGGTCTATCTGTCTATTACTCACTAACTCTTTCACACTGGCTCTAGGAGATAGTTTGTCGTTGCTGGAGGGTCGGAGTGCACGATCCTAGTGCTCATGTTAGGCCCGCAGTGTGGTTCCATGCACACAGTGTGAAGCGGACTAACGTCCAGCCACCGCCTTGTGTGCGCTTGATTCCCCAAATACAGCGTGCTTGTGCTTGCCTGTGAAGAAGTGTGGGCCGGCTCCGTTGATGAAACGTGGTTCCCATCCACATACCTCCCGGCCTTATTCCTTTGGGTTTACACTGAGCATGGGGTATGTGGTAGGAGCCGTGGGTAAGGCAGCGCAAGCCACCCGTGGTCTCTCTGTAGGCGCAGGCATTCTGTGGCTTGCCACAGTGACAGGCAAATCCGAAACCGGATGCCGCCAAACATGCAGCTGTGCAGTGTGTGCTTGTAATTGTGCTGCTCTATGCTTGAATGTTTGATATCGTCAGCAACGTGCGAGTAGAAGATTAGTGGCTGGGAGTGGGAAAGGATTATCCGAATATCCATGAGACAGGGACTTTATTTTAT